AAAAAAAAAAAAAAAAGAAAAAGAAATAATAATAATTACTATTATTATTATTAAGACCCAAAGTGGAGGTCAGTTTCCCAGGCAGCGCGTGCTCCTCGCGGCTCCTCACTCTCAAGGGAGCACTTGGCTCTAGGCAAAGCAGGAGTTACAAAAGCCCCTTGCAGGGCTCCAGAAGGGTAAGGTGAAGAGGAGGAGGCCACAGCTTGGGTTTGTCCCCRGTTGGAATCCACGCTCCTCTCGCACCGTCCTCCTAATCCCCTCCAGCGCCGTGTTTAACCGGCGCACAAATTAACATTAATCTCATTGGCATCGGCTCTGGTTTTTCCACTGCTGGGGCTGAGCAAGCTGCGTTCGGAGAAGGGATCCAACCAGTGTGGTTAAGCAGTAGCAGGCCCACCAAGGCAGGTGGAAGCAGGGCTTATAACTGAGCCGGCTTYTCCCTATTTTATTATTTGGGAATCATATCGCTTGCTAGAGGAAATAGGGAAGATTGTACCACGCGCTCTGCATGCTTAGCCTGATCCTAAGGATGATTTATGTACTGACGCCTGCCTTGGCTAACAACCAAGTTCCACAATTTATCATCAAAATGTAACATGGAAAAGTACTCAAATGTTTCCCTGTATGGTTGCTTTGGGGCTCCTCTTTATTACTCGTGCACAGACCAGTGACGCTGAGATAAAAGCTAACTTGGCATGGAGGAGSTTTTCTAACTGTGCCTCGTTCCTTCTTTAAAACCACTACAGTAAATTAAAATACTTTAAGTAGAAATTTCACTGTTTTTAGCTTGTCCTTATGAAACTTCTAAGAATTTTTTAATCGTACATAAAGAGAAAAGCCCCTTGGGACCAAAATTATAATTCTGGAAAAGATATATGCCAAAGCCAAATATTTTCTTTAAAAAAAATTCAAAAATGATGCTATGATTCCAGTAAAATGAAGCATCCATATTGGAAAAAAATCATAAAACAAAAGAAAGATCTTAAATAACATGGTCTGTACTATCTCAACAGTAACCTTGAATGACCTATATTTAATACCAGAAAATGAGTAAGATGGAAAGACTAAGATCTCAAACATACAACTCACATCTTTCTAAAGAAAAATTAAAATTAAAATTAAAAATTTTCTTTTTTACTCGTGGTTCCCATCAATAGCTTTAATCTGGGTAACCTAGGAAGAGAAAGGAAGGGAGAATGAAATGGTAAATGCTAATAATTTCAGTGTAATTTCCTGGATATTTATTAACTTCAGTTCAAAAGGCCTCGGAGGAAAAATCAGGAAACACCAGGAAATATCACACTCTTGATTTATTACTGAGTCTAGGAGTTCAAGCAACTAAGAGCAGGGACTCCTAGGCAGAGTTGAGGAAAATGAGCARGTTGAATCTACCCTCTTTTCTGTGGAGCGCTACCTGCCCTGCAGATATCAGACGTGGTCCCTGCCTTGAAGCCTTTATAATCCTCAGCCTTACTCAGTAAGTGGGAGTGCATGTAATGCTTCCCACCAGCCTGGTGGGACCCAGCAAGTTATCCCAGGTCATTCCTCTTGTGGTGCAGCCAAAGATGTGACTGAAAACTGAATTAAAAGGAAGAGATACAAGGCAATAAGAAGGATGGCAAGGACCACCCAGATGACAGCATGAGTTTTACTGTGCTAAGCAATTTAATTTCCTTACAGGCAAACAGATTTTGAGAAGGCATTTGACTGCTATTAAAGCATCCGGCTTCCTCTACACAACCTCATTCAATGGCAGAATTAGCTCCTGTGCCTTGGCTTCTGGGTGAATCCTTTTGAAGGAGGGGTGGCTGGCAGGACATCAGCATCAGGCTGCAAGTTATGGTGGAGATCTCTGGATTCTGCTGATTGTTTCATTCCAGGCCTAAGACTATGTTCAGCCTCTGCTAGTGACCAGCTCAAAAGGCTTTGGGCAACCACTGTTTAGTAGAAGGAAATGCAGTACTGCACACGCTTTTGGTGGCCTTRGAAGTATGCTGTCAAGTACCTATCAAGGAAGAAATTCAACAGGAATGTGCATGCAAATATCCAAAGCTCTGTATTTACTAATTTGCTTCAGAGGTTGCGTATTTCCATAGGTATAGACACATAAGCATAATCTTTGTATTTTAAGTTTCTATGTCRTTCACTTAAGTCTTAAACAAACCTGAGTTTTGTCAAGGCTACTAGAGATGTAAAGGACAATCTGGATTATTATCTTTATAAAACAAAACTCAGAGAGAACCACTACTGCTGCCTTAGTAAGTGCTGTGTATTAAGTAAGCAGACAGCATAGGACAAGCAATTACTTTAATTGCACTGAAAAAAAAGAGAAAACTTTTCAATTCCAGTGTTACATATGACACAGTAAGAGAATTTTCCAAGTCAGCATTTTAAATGCACAGGTCAAACCCAACCTTATAACCCTGCTCAAACACAAGGTGCTGTAGACAGCAGGAGGCACTGAGAAGAGAAATGCAAATTCGGAGGTCCTTGCGCTTGCACTCGTTTCACACAGAAACACGATCCCCTCAGTACAGCCAGACAACTACGCTACCCTCTTCCCAATTCCTGTCTGTGCTGGAGGCTGTTAAAAAATGAGCATTTGATGTTTCCTGCCACTGCTCTTCTGCATGTCCCCAGTCTATCTCCTCACTGCAGAGGACAACTGCTGTCAGGTGAGGCTTTAATCCATTGGACATATTTGTTTTACCATTAGTATTGGTGGCTAGTACTCCTCCTCCCAGTCCTTTAAATGCCTCTCTTAACAAGACTGCTTGAAAAGCTGGCTTGGAAGCTGCCATGTCCTTCCTACCTTCTGTCCAGACTCCCAGTCAAGGGCTGTTGCCCTTGTTGTTGAATAATTCAATTACACTGCTGCCCAGACCCGCAAAAAGGCAGTTCTAGGGTACCCCTTCTGAGCCACCTGTTTTGTTCTGTGAGATTAGCCTCATACTCCAGGGTGAGCAAATGTCTTGTATTTGGTCAGATTGAGTCCAAATAAGGTTAGAGTCAGGAAAAAAAGGTTTAGACATCATCCTTGGACCCAGCATGGTGGACAGCACTGGGAAACTTATCACAATTTTAATAGATTAAATAAATAGTCCAATTTTTTGCTTGATCTGATTCAGAACCTGTTTTTAAGTGTGACTGTGAGCCACTCAGATGTTCATGGCTACAGAAATACTTTATGTGATGAAGCCTGAAAAAAAAAAAAGTTAAAACAATGATGTTTCTGAACATCTGAACATAAAAACAATGATTCTGTTCTGGATCGTGGCAGTGATCCTATTTTACTGCCTGTAGGTGACTGGAAGCATTTAGTGGAAGGTTATTAATTCTCCTGCTTTGTATTAAAAAAAAAAAAAAAAAAAAAAGTCAAGACAAGAACAGTATTTTTCTCCATGTTAGCATTCAGGATGCATTTTAGAAGCATAGAGATGGAGTTTGGTACATAACTGCTCACATAGAGCTAGTCAAATTGACGTGTTTCTGCACTACACAGTAAGAATTATATGTCTTCTCTTTCAAAGCTCATGATTGGCTTTGTAGAAGACAGTGAGTTGCTCTTGCAGCAACAGAAAAAAAGTGGTATACTTGCATGTGTTTTTATGACTGTTACAATTCTTCAAAAGCCRAAAGAGGACTTTCTTTAAAAAATCCTTTAATTATTCATTGTTTGTGACTGAAACATGCATCACTTATTTAAAATATATTTTTAAAACAGGATTACAATCCATACTATTAACATTTTGATCTGTTCTTGCAATGTTGTAACAAARCAACATTTCAGATGCTCTCCAGGAACCAGCTCCCCCTACCATCTCCTTCCTCTTCCGAAGGAGCCTCAGTTTTGCGGTGAGGATGCAGGGCTTGGGCCAAGCCTGGCAACCTCTGGAGTGAGCCACGAGCCAGCTACTACTTCTGGGCTTCCCAGTGGCATAGAAATTACTCTCTGGAGGTCTTCAAAACMCGCCTGGATGCCACCCTGTGCCACATGCTGTAGGTGTGCCTGCTTGAGCAGGAAGGTTGGACTAGATGATCTCTAGAGGTCCCTTCCAACCTTRAATATTCTGTGATTCTGTGATTCCCAGTCACACTAGCTTCACAGAAGCATTTTAACATTTCGGATAAGAAGAATACATCTGTGCTGTGTTCACTGGGAACCTCAGAAATAGGTTGTCTCATTTTCTGCTTGGTAGCAGATCTGTTGCTGTACTCACAGCATTTCTCAAGTGTCAGGTATTAACTCTTGCTCTAGCAATGCTTACGTGGCAGGGTTGAGGCCTTGAYGCTGGTAGGTAGGTTATGAGTTTTGAGAAGATTCTTGCCAGAAGTCCTTGGAGACTTGCAATCTCTTATCACACCCAGACTCAYGGTTCACACCGCTCCTGGTCGCAGCTTTGGGGCACATTCTGTGCTGTCTGTTTGCCCCCAAGGTGCGACATGGCCTTCCTTGTGATTCCCTTTCCATTAYTGCCACTTCCCCACACAAACGCTCTGTCCCCAGGGCAGCCCCTGCTTGGGCTGCAGTAGTGACAGCTCCTCGCAAGGCAGGCACGGCTAAAACTTGCCTTGATCCCTGTGAACTGGGACAAGCTGGCTCGTGTTGTGGGCAGAACAATCTCCTTGCAGGGAATTTTACTGCATTTTACTGCATTTTACTTGGCACCAGCTTCTGGTCGCTGATCCTGAGAAGAAGAAAACAAAGACTAATGCTTCAGGAAACATCTTTCCTCCCTCTTTCTCAGGTTCAACTTCAACCAAATGTCTCTTGCTCCCTGCTTCGCCCTCCCTCTCCCTCGCTGTCCCCAGGCACTTGGTGCCTCAGAGCAGCCATGGGCAGCTGCTCTGTGCCCAACCATTGCTTTGGACAACTCCCTTCTTC